TCTTGTAATTAGAAATACAGCCATATTGTTATTAAAAATTGCCTTGGGTATAATGGCAACTGGGCTCCCAAAATGGATGGGTCCACCCACTTGGAAGTCCTTTGCTGCCTTCCTAGTCCAGGCCAACACTCTCTCTCCCAGAATGGTAACTTCACCTCTTGTCTCCCTGCAACGTTCCAGCCTCCTTTTCACCTGTCTTCTACACTACAGGTAGAACGAGCTTTCAAAAATAGGAACTTCATTTTTTCATTTCCTTGCTTTTTAAAGTTTTTTCTTATTGGTATACACAATAATTGCATTTGTTTTGGGAATTGGTACACACACAGTGGTGACTTTCCAAGTCAGCCTCATTGCATTGTCCTTCTCCTCCCCTGTCCAGCTACACTGTTTTCTCTCCTTAGACGCTCTCGTTTATGCCGTGGAAGCCAGTGTGCCCCTCCTGCTTCCCCTGGCTCCCTCTCTTCATCCTTCATTTCTCAAACTAAGTGTCACTTCCTGTGAGCAGCTACTGGTGACCATGGACAACCTGTGAGAGTGAACACAAAGTGTGGACATCTTTATATCACATGTTAATATCCATCCTGACATTTAGTAGGTTGGAGACAAAATGACCCTGCTGGCTGGCTTTATTCTGTCTCTGTCAATAGCTACTCTAGTGCTACTAGAGCAACGAACACAAGTGAAGTAGGCCCAGGGGCAGAGGAGGAGGATATACATAGGCTCAGCAGCATGGCCTGCATTTACCAGGCTCATGTGTCTGCTACCATTGCTGAGGGGTCCACATGCAACATGAGGACTGACGCTGGCCTTCCAACATGATGCCATTGCTCACAAAAGATAACTGGTCATTTAGTACAAGGCTGACTGCTTTGAGTTCCTTTCATCCTGAAGGGTCAGCTGTTCATTGTCATAGGAACAGACACACATTCTGGGGATAAGTTCGCTTTTGCTGCGTGTAAGAACTTAGCCTCCACTACTGCCCAAGGGGTAGTGTTTTAGAGTATTAGTTCTACTAGTATAGAATCAAATACAACTTTGTATCAAACCATGGGCTTTCCTTTACAGAACATAAGGTGCAGAGATGGGCCCAGGGCAAAGGAGCTGTAGCAGAAAATGCCCCACTCCCCCCAGGTATACTTCAGTTTCTTAGTTGCCCACATAACAGTTCCTGTTTGGATCCAGTTGCTCCTGTCTCTTAGAAATGGCTGGTCACTGTGAGGCACATTGTAGATCCCCAGCTGACAGGGCATTCTGCCTCTGTATTTCCTTCTTACCTCATATAAGCTCTAGATCACCAGAGATCAGGGCTTGATATTCCAGGAGTAATCCCAGTCAGTGCCCATGGACATAAATAAACCCGCCTCTCAATCCTGGGTGTCATCTTGGCGTTTCTGCCTGCTATTGCAGGTCTACTGGTCCTCTCACGGGTGGACAGTTAGCTTCTTAGGGGAAATACTCTGTGAGTGTAGGAGCCAACTGCCAGGGCATGCGTTGGATCGAGGGCCTTTATATAATGCTAAGTGCTCAGTAGGAAGGGTCTAGAGACCAAGGGTGGAAATAGAAACTGTCACTCCCAGTGACATGTTGGGGTTGGCTTTGTACTTCTGACCCCCTATAACTCTGAGTTCCTCAGAGCTATAAGCACTTATCTTCAAAAAATATACACTTTTACCCAGCAACATAGCAAAAGTATTATTAAATTATAAGCTACAGCTGCTACCTGGGTGCTTTCATTCTGTGTCTCCAGAGCCTAGCAGACAAGGAGAGGAGGTGTTGTCATGGCAGAAGTAACTGATCTGACTGTTGGAAAGGAGGTCTGTTCCCTCACAACAGCGTGGGGGAAGAACAGTATGGAACCTGGAAGACTGATTTTGGCTTCCTTTGGTCCTTCTTTGACCACCTGTGATTGTAAGTAAACAGGTACAGCAAGCCCATTTTCTGCAAAATGTACACATCCTAGTCAGTGTGCGCTACTGTGATAAAATGCCATAGACCAAGTAGCTTAAAACACAAGCAGTGGGCTGGCACAGCTCCGAAGGCTAGGGAGTCTGAGATCTAGTACAGGCAGATTTGGTGTCTGGTGTGAGTTCATTTCCTGGCTCCCAGACAATTATATTATCACATGGGAGAAAGAGAAAGGGGGTGGTGGTGGGATGGGGGAGATAGCGGAGAGGAGGGAGGGAGAGAGAATGTAGCTCTTCTTATAAAGAATGGATTTTTCTGAATAAGAGGAGGAGGAGTAAGATGTTACTTGCATGCAGATGGGTGGGAAGTTCATTCCTCTTTCTTGAAGTTCTAACACCCTTTTCTTCCTGAGACTCAGAAGCCAGCTCCTGGCACAATCGGGTACTGGAGTGAGATGCTGGAGACAATATTTCTTACACTTGTAAATAATCAACTCAGTTTTTAAAACATCTTTATTTGCTTAAATTAACAAAACTTAGGTTACAACATGCTACTTTTGGATAAACTGCCTTTTCATCGAAGCACAAAGTAATATTCACAACTTGGTGTGCTTATAGTTGGAGTTTTAGTTTTTAAATAGCAAGCCAGAATTCTGTACAAAAATCAACATTTGGTGTAATGTTGTCCAAAATATGCAAAAGATTTTTAAATGTTAGCTCTATTACATTTTGTTCCAGAAGAGCAGACAAAGATCATAATTCAAAACACAATGTTAGTATTTTATGAAATGCCTTCAAGGCTTAATAAATACAGTATGCACATTGAGCTTTTTCATGTGGTTAATCATATACCAATATACCAGTTATGCTTTGGGTTTTTGAAAGGTTAGCTTCAGTCTCATGGCCAACGGAGAGTCAAATTTTTAAAAAAAGAATGAAAGAGGAATTGAAATGCAACAAGAAAGCTAATTATAGGTCTAAATATAAAGGATAAAAGAAAACTATGCCACTTGGCTTGTGTGTTGGTTGGTTCTAAAGTGACAGTGGTCAAAGCCTGGAAAGTATTTAGTCCTGGCTTCTTTTTAGACTTTCTCAGCATCATGGTAATGATGGCCTTGGATGCTGGCAACTGTGGATGGCTTTATTGCTCTGTTCTCTGGGGATGGCCCCAGTGGTCCTCTGCAGGGTCCCATTCTGACCAGTCAGCTTCTCAGGCAAGGCTGGCAGCCCTCCCCTTGGCTCTGCACTCACACACAGGGTGTTCACATGTTTACTACTCAAAATTGGGCTGGTGTGGAGAATGGAGGGTACACTTATTATTAATCCCCCCGACACCATAGGTCTACATGAGGGTCGTCCCGGACGACCATGTTGGTTAGTCAGTGTCTAAAACCAAGGTTCCACCCTCGGGTCCCAGAAGGACAGTGCTCACTCAGCCCTCAGGTGGAGCTCATTAAGTCTCTCATATCCCAGAGTTAAAAACTAAACGAAGCCTTGGAGCACACTCCACAATGGAAGTCTGGTTACTTTCCCCAGACCTCTCTTCTCCCTCCAAATGAAAATCTACTGAGAATGTTAACACATGAAGCAGACAAAATGAACCACTTGCAGTGGGACAGGCATGGGAGTGGGCCTGCCAACAGCTCTGCAGGGCCTAGCAGGGACCTCTGCCCTCGAAACACAACTCGAAAATCACCAATTTGGATATTGCTCTCTCCAACTAAACATTCACCAGTTCCCTCAAACATGCCTGCAGGACTGGTTTTGGTGGAAAGGACTAGAGCTCTCGCTCTGCTTTCCTGGTTTCCAATCTGGCCAGAAGCAACTGGAAGTCTGCAGCGCACGTGGTCAGCACAGCTCATAGTAGGTCCTCAACATGTAACTGCTGAATATACATACAACAGGACCCAAAGAGCTGGTGGCCTCCTCACAAACCCCTCTGCTGTTTCCTGGGCAACCCCATCCAAGGCACCCATGAGCTGTAGCCACACTGGGTAGAACTGGTGTGGAGAATGGAGGGTACACCTATTATTAATCCCCCCGCCACCATAGGTCTACATGAGGGTCCTCCCTCTGAGGACTTGGACCAGCTCTT